CCTCCCATGACTGTACGCGTCTCTAATATCGGCCCGCAGAGTTGAGCGCGTATAAGCACCACCCGAGACACCGCTACGACGCGTGGCCTCAGCCGAACCTCAGCGCCATGTCCAACGGGTACGCAGCCACTGCAACACGACGACACGCACCACGTCGATTGTGGCACAGCCGAGTGTCTAAACTTGACTTGCAGACGAACCGACCCACAAAGCCCGTCACGACACATTCACAGCCAAGCTCTCAGCTGCCGCTTGGCAAAGCTTGTTCCTTGATTTTGTGAGGGATTTATTGGCGCCACAAAGCTTAGTTGAGCTTAGCCACGCAATCAGTGCATGCACCTCGCAAGGGTTGGCATGCTCTAATGCAGATTGTTACGACAAACGTCTACGTGACACCAATCAGAACCAATGAGACATGACCGTGAGCAAGCTGAGCCACCCCAGCCGCGGCCGTTTTCATCTGTCACACCGTCCAGACTTGCATCCTGGGTTTGCTCGAGAGATAGCGGCGTCGGTGAGGCGGTGCAGCAGGGCCGAGCGACCAGTTCCAGGCCTGACAACTGGCAGATGTTGAAACATGGACATGCATGCCTGAGGGTCAGGGCTTGATGTGTGCCACCGATGAGGTCGAATGACAAGGCGCGCAGGCCGCAATGACGGAAGCTACTATCCTGGAATTATCGAGCTGGGGAAGACTGTAACGCCTGCTGACCTGCGACCTAGTGATATAAAGGGTCGTGGACATCCGCGAAGGAGAACACTCACTTCCCACCACTTTTTCACTTCGCTGTCTACGAATTTCACCTATCGCACCCACACACAAATACAGCACGTTTGGCTCTTGGGCTCTCGATTCTCTTCACATCCAACAAGACTATTACAGTAAGTGATCCAGGCATGCTACCAGCTACGCAACTAACACTCCGTCCAGTATCACCTCCACACCAATACCATCAAGATGCCTGCCAGTGTCGCCTCTTCCATCTCGACTATCATCAAGCCCTCACCAGCCCCGAAGTGCGGCGAGTCGTGCGACTGCTGCGGTTGCGACGAGTCCTGCTGGTGCACCGTCATGTAGGGCGAGGATACCTCATACTCGGTCACGATGTTACGATCGACTTCTTGAAGGACACCTAGGTGCTGTCAGCTAGCGAACATCGTCATAGGAAGGCTTGCTACAACCCGTTGAATATAGCCACTGTTTTCTCTTGGCTTGAGTCCAATTGCTGTGCTCTCGAATCACTACCTTATCGACTCCCATCTGACCTGCAACGCTATTGCCATACATCAAAACCTCGCTACATCAAGTTCCTACCTGTTAACACCTTTGTTGACCGCGAAGTAACAACATCCCGGACATGACTCGGTTGAACACAGGTGTACGCAAAAGTGACGTAATTCCTCCATCACAAGAGCGTACCTAGTAAACGTTGCAACAAACAAAAGAGCCTCACGGGCTCTTCCAGTCTTACAGCATACAGCTCCACGCTTTCTTGATACCAGAATTCATCTCCCACTTACTCATATCACAGAATCAAACGTTCAAAATGCCCCCGTATGTCGCCCGCGATGCTGTCCTGAGGACTTCGAAGACGCTTTCGCATCTGTTGAGACCTACTGTTCGCTTTGCTCACACACAGCGCAGGACTTTGCCTGACTTCTCGCTTGAGGGCAAGGTCGCTGTTGGTAGGTAGTCAAGAGAGTCTCTTGACAAGCTAGCTAACTTGCTATAGTTACCGGGTATGAGATCACCAACCCTCGCCATGGGCGGCTACGATCCGTGTCGCAAGGTTTTCCTGCGTAGAAGCATACATCATCTTCGAAAGTATTCACTTGTCAACATTTACTGGTGTGTATGCAGCAGGATGCGATACGAGTCCTAGCTACCCCTGGTGTCTCTCCCACGAGAATCCGAACACAGTTACAATTAAGCTAATGTGCCATACAGTGCTTCTCAAGGTCTTGGTCAGCAGATCCTCGCCGCCTTCGCCCTTTCCGGCGCCCATGGAGCCATTGTAGACCTTAGGCAAGAAGGCGCCGACAAATCAGCCAGTGCCCTCATTGAAGAGGCTAAGAATCAGGGCCTCTCGCCCCCGAAGGTGCATGGCTACGAATGCGACACATCGTCCGAGGAAGGCGTCAAATCTACGTGGGAGAAGATTGTCAAAGACTTTGGGACCGTGGATATCCTCGTTACGAATGCTGGTATTACTGGTGGTGCACCGGCCGAGGACTACCCATTTGAAGACTTCAAACGAATGATCGACGTCAATCTGACTGGAACTTTCCTCTTCTCTCGCACAGCAGGTAGATGGTGGATCGACAACAAGGTCGACGGCCGCATCCTGATCGTCTCGTCAATGTCCGGCTCCATTGTCAACCGCCCGCAGAAGCAGTCGGCATACAACGCTTCCAAAGCTGCATCGGCCCATCTCATGAAGTCACTGGCGTCAGAGTGGGCGCCGCATGGCATCCGCGTCAGTGCACTGAGCCCGGGATATATCCAGACCGAGGCTAACGAGGGGGAAGAGATGGAGAAGCTGAGCAAAGAGTGGTTGAAGGATATTCCCATGAAGAGGATCGCCAAGCCAGAGGAGTTCCGCGGGGCGGCCGTCTGGTTGGTCAGTGATGCTAGCAGCTACGTCACGGGTAGCGAGATTATTGTGGATGGGGGATACACTATCTGGTGAGACTTGCTGAGAGTGGGACTATGTACGCACACATCCGAATATTCTTATCATTTTGGCGACAGGCAAATCTTCCAGTCCCAAATCATCTCGATGCAACCCACTCGGGCAAATCGCTCGTCTTGTAGCGCCCTTTGTTATGCTCAATCGGTCCTGGCGTTGCTGTCGCAGAAGAAGGCGTATCCTTTTGCGCCCTATCGCCAGAGTCATCGATGATCGCTTTTCCCTTCTCCCTTGTCTTCCCTCTTTTTAGACCCAGAACGAAAGCCGCGACAATAGCCAAGAGACCGACCAGACTACCAACTACCGCACCTGCAATCACACCTGGACTTGTACCGCGCGGAGCTCTATCGTTGCCTGACGGTGTATTCTCGGGGCTCGAGGTTTCACGGGGTAGGTTGGATAAGTCGCGGTCCGAAGTGGTCATGCTGTTCGAGATAGCCGTGGACTCTGCTCCTGAATTCGATGTGGTTGTGAATGACGACGAAGAAGGCTCAATAGCTCTGGAGACCGCAAACATCATGCTCCGATATCCCCACGAATAGTTATCCCATACATCATCGTCGCGATGCTCTTTCCATCGAAACACATGATTACTGCCGTTGGCGCGATCGTCGGGGACATCGACCGTCCAGTTCCACTGCCCACTTTGCCGCACATCGGTCGTATCCAGTTCTATTGCGAATATCGATTAGTTTCTAGGGGCGGCGGGATGAACAACGTCGATTACAACGTACCAAGTAGTTTTCGCACAAATGCGTCGTTGGCATAGCCTGTAATCCAGAGATCAAGGAGAGACTCTTCGCCGACGGGCCCATCACCCCAATTCGGCCAATTGTCGTCCCATCGGATAGTTATCTCCTCGCCTTTGGACCAGAATCTCTTCCCGTTAACCCAGTTGGGGTTTGTGAACTCGGCTAAAACAGACGCCGCTAGGTACGACAGGCATAAGAACGCCTTCATCGTAGAGCTGGCGGAGAGGAAGTACAGAAGCAAGAACTACTTCAACAGTAAGCTTCATGACCCCCTTAATCACTAGGCGGCTGGTTGCGGTGGCTGTCAGCCTTGCCAAGGCTCCCGTGCCGTAATGATGCAGATATCGCAAGGCGCATGAACCCCTTACAGATCGTATTCAGATGTCGCCAGGAACAATAGCTAAAGCCCATGCTATTGTATTACGGAATCAGGGTGCGGCTCTAACTCAGACTCGGGACTGGTTTTGGTTCGATGTATTGTCTTCTTATACAACGAGTGCTGATCATGCGGCAGTCACAGAGAAGTCAATGTATACAAATGTCCGGGGACTCGATCTGTTTTCTAGGCGTCCTTGACTACCTACGTCCCAACGCAACCCGGATAATCTTCAGTACATCAACAATACTTTTGCTTCGTCGCCCAGTCACACATGACTTTTCCGACGCAGCTGCAACAAGCGCACACCTGTCATGTACCGCTGTGGTCAGCGCCACAATCTCCATCGTCAGCCTTTGAATGCCTTACCTTCTTTTGTTTTACCGCGTTATCGCTCCCATCTATACATGTCAAGGTCTGCGCGTTCCACCGAAACTTGTTGTAGCAGGCGTTTGCGTTGATGACCGCGGCGCAGTCGTCGCTCCGTGCGACTTCGGCAGTGCACTCTGGGTATGTTTGGGCGGCGCTGAGAGCGAGAAGAGTTGCCAGGACCGCGATAAAGAGCACCATGACGGCTACAGATGATCGAACAGGTGAGAATGGTAGGTTACCTGGGAGTGTTTGTCGGTGTGTGGTGCCGCTTTGCTCTGCTCAACTATCTGTCATCGGACGTCACTGGCACTGAGCATCCGGACTCATGTATCCGATTGCAACTCGTGCCGGTTGCTTGGAACAATATATCCGGAAGTACTATGCAGCTTGCGGTATTTTGGAGGAGAACGAATGCTGGTTACACCCACGGTCAGCTGCAGTCTCTGTAGGCATCGGACGGATCGTCCCGCGTCGTGCACCTTTTCAGCTCTTGTCCTTCGACCACTCTAGAGAACACTCATTCCAGGCGTCTGCTCATTTGAAGGCTCCAGATGAATGACCCCCTTCATGGAACGACGACGTTCGATCTTCCTTGGCATCTGAGCTCGCATTCGCTACGCGATATTAGCTTACATTACCCTGGCCTTCGGCTCTTCGCATCGATGCTCGTAAAAGACGGCAGTTGGTAGTATCTTGGACATCAAGTCGTGGCACCCATAGTATGAAGGATAGACTTGCCATGGGCTGCAAACTGCTGTTTGGTAGCTGTCGATAACACCGGAACGCTGGAGACCACAGGGACGTAACGACATGAAACTACACATCTTCGCCATTGCCTTCGGGTTAGTCGCGACTGCGAAAGCAGGCCTTTTGCGCTTTGGCTGCGCGCAGTTGACAGTCCAGAGACTTGACCCGTTGGTGAACCCAGGCTCGAATCCCTCGCCACATCTTCATCAGATCATCGGAGGTGTAAGACCACCCATCTCCAAACAAGCATTCTACTGCTGACACAGTCAGAACTCCTTCAACGTCACCATGGATCCAGCCAAAGGCCATGATCTGGCGACACAATCGACATGCACCACGTGCGAGTTTTCCGAAGACTTGAGTGAGGACTAAAACACAGTTCTAGATGACGGAGAGACGCTAATGAGATGACTGTAGGCAACTACTGGACCGCAGTCGTGTATTTCAAAGCCAAGAACGGCACCTTCAAACGCGTACCCCAACGAGCGCAACAAGGCATGGAAGGTACCAACGGCGGCATGGTACGTACCTTCTTCTTACCCCATCACAGCCAACGCCTAACATGCATGCAGGTTGTATACTACATGACCGACGCCCTCTTCAGCACCTCGCAAACCACCAAAGTAACAGCCTTCAAGCCCGGTTTCCGCATGCTGATCGGCGACGTGTCGTACCGGTCTCGCGAGGAAGCGCGCGACTTTCGACAGCTGACATATATCTGCATGCAAAACGAGGGTACCCGGGAGCCTGAAACACTCGAGTTCCCGAAGCAGCCTTGCCCGGCCGGCATCATGATTAACCATCGGTTTCCAACTGTAAGAGTTCCGACTTTGCGATTGTACGTTGCATGTATGTACTGACTACTTGCAGTGCTGGGACGGCGTGAACCTCGACTCACCAAACCACCGCGAACACGTCTCGTATCCCGCGACGGGTACATTTGAAAATGGCGGCGCGTGTCCATCCACACACCCCGTCCGCCTGCCCCAGATCCTGCTAGAGACGGTCTGGGACACGAAGCAGTTCAACAACAAGGCCGACTGGCCAAGCGATGGTAGCCAGCCTTTTGTCTGGTCTAGCGGCGACGCGACTGGCTTCTCGACGCATGCGGACTACCTGTTCGGCTGGAAGGACGACTCGCTGCAGAAGGCTATGAATGGGAATAATTATGTGTCGGCGCCAACGCTGAAGAAGCAGAATATTGCGACGCAGAATAAGTGCAATGTAAAGGATATGGTTGGCGAGAATTTTGATGGTTGGCTGACGGCGTTGCCGGGTGGGATGCAGGTTGGTTGAGGCACGTCTCTATCAAGGTTTGGTTTGTTGCGTCGAGGTGTTGTGGGTGTATCATCAGTTAGGAAGTTCTGACTCGTTTGCAACTATGGCTTTACTACGAGTACGGTTCATGATTCATCGAGGATCAATACGATCGTCAAGCTTCCTACTGTGCGATGGATTAACAGATCAGATTGATATCTGACAACGGACATTTTGAACACGTTCACTTATATGCTATACCACTAGGGTAGCCACCGAAGTAAATATGTGACAAAGGCGTCCTAGACAGATGGCTGACTTGTCTTTCAATATTTCGGTCGTTGTATCTCCATGTAAAAACTGATCCAGCATCAAGTAAGCAGCCAACCCTGGCGCTCTCAATCGGTTCCTCTGATACCTTGTCAAGGATGGCATCTTGTAGCTCAACAGGGAGCTTGCGAAGAGGAGCCGTAGTGGGACTGGTCTGCGTGGCTTGGAGAAGGAGCTCCATAGCTTCTTCAGAAGGAGGATGCACCCCGTCAAATAGACGCATGGGTTCCGTATATTTTTCGAAATCCCTGCTTATCCGAAACAGAATAAGTTCCCGCACCGAGAGTATGAGGTAAGTGGAAGTTCTTTCCGCCGAACCAGGAGTGGACACAATCTGCTTCCCGAAATCATTTCGAATCAGCGTGACCGCGTGCGGAGTATGCTGGCATATGACGATGGCCGTTCCACCGACCCTAACAATGTGTCCACTTGCAAAGTCCCATTCTGGGAGACTGTCTATCCAGACCAGGTAGCGGCTAATGCTTTGGTGTGCGAGCGTTGCTTCTTCGACGGCAAAGTCCAGGGTAACAATCCTGACAATAGCATTGGCAAGCCTCCGAAACGTAGAGTTGTTGTAACGACCGCAAAGGACATGCCTCCACTGAAATGCAAAGTCGGCAAGTATCCTAGAGACGAAAGCCTTGCGCCGCTGTAGGCGCGGCAGGTCGATGTTCTTGCGTCTCATTTTCCAGAACACCACTGGGCGGCGTGCTGAGTAGACGGATTGTAAGGCATGTTTGGCAAGTGTCGGCGGTGGTTCGCAAGGCTCGAAATCGGAAAGGGTTATGGAACGCTGGCGAACAAGGTCGAGAGGAACCCAAAGGTTGCGATCTGTCTGGTCCAATCGCAGAATATCGCGATCAAGGTCAAAGGTCCAGACCGCTCTAACGTGACTCCATCGGCGGTCGTTAAAGGGTGTGAGGAGGTCGTCCCGCTGTTGCCAATCCCGGGCAACCTGCGAGTATAAAACATCAAAGGTAGATTCTACGTTTATGAGCGCTTTTCGCCGTGCATGCCGGGCGATGATGATACTACGCACCTCTTGCTACGCCCGCAAGCCTGCTCGAAAATAGTTGCAGCATGGCGTCATCTTCGGCAGAACGATGTCCAGCAAAATAGCAGGCCCCTCGTTCTACGTTAAAAGAACAAATCGTGTATAGTATTGTACTGGTAACGTACCTTGCAAGTTAAGGTTGATATACGCTGCCATGGTGAGCCGTGGACGGGCGCGAAGTACAGGGACGGTTGAGCTCTGTGTGGAGGTAACAATAAATTCGGTGCAGTCGGTTTGCGTACATTGGCAGGCTTGGCAACACGCCACGTGTGGAGATTGAGACGAGATGGTTTGGGAAAAATAACGGTGGGAAGGAGAAGGCAAGCCCTGGAGAGTGCAAGATGAGGAGGTCCGGAGCGTTAGTTATGGCGACCATGTTGCTGAGTCAACCAACAACAGGATCGCTAGGAATTGCGCGTACATTTTCAGCGGATGTCGAGGCCGCGGGGAAATAGTCACTAAACTAGAAGTAATGAATTTTGTGCCATACAATGCCGCTAACCCAAACACCTTGCTAACGAAAGCAAGTTCGACAGACAGACGATACGCATACACAGAACAGCCCCCCATCATCGTACATCGGCCCCTACCAACAGCTCGCCAGCCGGATAATGCCACTCATATCCCTGAGATCTTATCCAAACGACGATTTCTTTGCAACACCCTGATGAGTGATCAGATACATATAGTCCTCATTCAGTTTTCTAACAGCGTCAGCACCAAGCATGAGAAAGTTAAGGTCCTCATGTTCAAGACCTGGCTTCCTCAAGCTCGAGCTCTAACTGCCTGATGCGCTCATCCTTTTCACGGTCCGAGGGCTCGGAGCTGGCAACCTTGGTCTTGAGCATCGAGACTTCGCGCAGAAGTAGTGCGATTTGATCGGTTTGGTCCGACATGACCCTGTTTTGCTGCTCAAGCTGTGACTTGATGTCGCCTAGTGCATCGCGGAGAGCGGAAGCAGGGCCACCGGCGCTAGGTGTGGAAGTCGTAGCGGCCGCAGTGGGCGTAGAAGAGGCAGGTGCAGCAGATGAGGTGGGTGTAGAGGATGCTGCAGGTGTGGGACTGTGAGTGGACTTGGCGCTCTCAGGTTCCTTGGAGATAGTGGGGCCCTTAACCTTCTCTTCCTGGCGGGAAGCAGTGAAAGTGCGGCGCTCTGCTGGCTTGGGAATCTCTTCGAAGCTCGACGCGCTCTCGTTGTCCGAAGCATCCTTGTCCGCGAATTTGGAAGCTGCCGACGCCATAGAATCCTTGTTGTCCTTCATAGATGGGGGTGGACCACGAGAAGCGACTGGTGTAGGTATGGGCTCGGGCGCAGGCTTGGGCGGCTCGGCCTTGACGGGGGATGGCTGACTGGTGGCCGGCTGGGAAGGCTTGTAGTCGTTTTCCACCTCTTTGGGGGCTTCGCCCTCATAGACGCTTTCAAGTGAAATCTTGGGTGGCATTGCAGTCTTTCCGCTGAACCAATCGGCAGCCGAAACACCTGGCTTCAGACCTGTCGTAGGCGGGTAAATATCACTCTGGAACATCTCGGAACGGCGGGGGACGATGAATGATACGGGCTCGACGTAGGCATCGTTGACAGTCTTGAAGCAGCGCAGGACCTCGTTCTCGTGCAGGTTGATACCCCGCTTGGGAAGGAAGGCGATACCGCGCTGAGGGTCGCCGGACTTGTATTCGGAGAGGTACTCGAACTTGTCGTTCTCGTATTCGTAGTAGCGGATGTTGCCGTCACTGCGCAAGTTAGTGTATGGCCATAAAATTGGGAGGTCAGACGTACCCCTTGCCGGCGAGGTACAAGCACTGTGTACCGTCGTCCCAGAAGGGCATGCAGACACCGGAGATGGAGTCGAGGATCTGGAAGCCGCCAATGGGCTCCTTGGGGTTGCGCGGGTCCCAGAGACCGAGTTGACGGTCGCTCATGCGCGAGAAGCCAGTGGTGGCGATACGGTCGGTCTCACCCATCCACACAGCGCGGCTGTTCTTGGCACCAGGATGACCGGGAACCTCCTGGGCGGGCTTCTCCTGGCGTACATCCCATACGCGCAGCTTCTTGTCGCGGCTCGTGGTGACGAGGAGCGATCCGTCGGCGCTCCATGAGAGCGATTGGACAATGTCGTTGTGCTTGAGCGTGAGCTGTGGCAGACCGGCCTCGACGTCCCAGAGCTTTACGGTGTAGTCGCCAGACGCGCTGGCGAGGACGTTCTCGGCGGCGGTGTTGAAGAGGACATGGCCGACCTTCCTGTGGCAGTGTTAGATGCGAATCTCGACCGAGCGCATCGGCGTACCTCATGTGGCCGCTCAGCTTGGCGACAGGCGCGACATCAGCGGGCTCCTCGGCATCGGTGTGCAGGGTGAAGTTCTCGGGCACCTTCCAGATGCCGACTTTGCCGTCGTCAGAGGCCGAGGAAATGAGAGAGTCGTTGAAGGGAGACCTGCGCGCGGTTAGCGTCGTACTCGGCCCTGTCACGCCATGTGCGTCCATACCAGTCGGTGTCGAGGACGGCGGCAGTGTGGCCGCGGAAGAGAGGGAGCTGGTCGGGCGCCCGGCCGCGCTCATTGATGGGGATGACGGCAAAGGCGCCACCGCCGCTGGCTTCCCAGTTGACCGAGATGTATTCGGGGTTGGCCTAGGGGGGTGAGCGCAAGTACAACGGGGTCGCGTGCGGGAGAGCTGACCTTGATCAGGTTGGTGTCCCACGCATTCTTGGAGATGCGGAGGTTATCGTAGCATTGCTCCTGCAAGACGGTCAGTACACGTGCGTGCTAGATCCATGGATGGCATTGGAGCGTACCTTTTTGGTGCCCTTGCCAAAGACGTGGCCTGGCAGGCGGTGTTAGCATGTTGGGCTGGCGGGCGTTGGACATCAACACTCACGGTACTTGGACGCTCGCACAAATCGGCCGGCCATGGTTGCGGGTGGCAGTGACGGGGGTGGTGGCGAGTGTAGGAATGACAGACTCTCGGGCCTCGGGCGTTGGGCTATAAGAGGCGCTGCGGTGGGTGCGAGGGCAATGCGACGGTTTCGAGCGCGTGTTTCGAGTCCTGGGACGCAGTTGCCCCCAGCATGCCTATGCAGGCGCCTTGGCGGTGGGCCCGCGATGCCCGCTCCAATCTCGCCAACGGTCCCTAGTCACCCTCGTCACTCCACCACTCCACCTGCAAATCCACCAATTTGCAGCTGTTTATGCAGCCCCAGCCCAGCAACCGCATGTTCGCAGCACGATCTCCAACTAACGACTTAGCACAAGATGCCTGAGGCCGGTCCCGAGGTCACGAGAATGCAACTTCTGTCTTCACATTTCTTCTTGTGCTAGTTTCCTTCGACTGTCCGTGGTCAATACTTTGCGTCTACTACTACTACTACCAACAAACACTCAAACCATATTCAGGCAGACCCGTCCCTAGATATCCTCAAACACCTTCCTCTCCGCCCTTGCTTCAACCATGCCTAGCTCTTCGCACCTTCCGCGAAGCCAAATCGTCCACTCGTCGTCGCCAGCAGCCAGAACCACGTTTTCTTGCGGGTAGACGACCCACTGTATTCCCGAGAGAGCTTTATCCATACCCTTGTTGAAGAGCTGCGTTTGCTCCTTGCTCCACGATTGAAACATGTCGCAGAGCTGTTCGCGGACATGATCCTTATAAGCATTCTCG